GGAATACAAAAAAAGCTCCACAGTTTAGCTCTAAAAACAGAGAGAATTGCTACAAAGAATATAATGTGAATTCCATCAATTAACTGTAAACAATTCTTGGAAATATTTTCGAGGAATTTTTGTCTACAGACAGAGTAAAAACTTGATTCGGTTTGTCTGACATTATAAAAGGATGTTATTGAAAGTCAGAAAAAAAAACAAGTTTGTTAAGCCTAACTGCTGCTTTTCTTACATTATCTAAAAACAATCTCTAATAATCGACTTGACCGTGTCCTGGTTGTTAGCTTATCGAATTGGGAGTCCTAGTGTCTCAGATTCGAGACGTGGTGTTACCAAATATCCTTCACACTTTCAGTCGTGAGTGCATTATAAGAGTCAAAGTCAACCCTACTATTCTGTTAAAAGTATCTACCTCGGACGACAAGTGCTGTTGAATAGTTGTCTTCCCTCTGATTTGCAGTTCAAAATTACGGATGGCTTTGCCTGAACCATAGAGATCTCTGACCTGACAGTTCAACCCACTTGTGTGTGTCAGTCAAGTGACAAAACAAACTAATGTCACGAACAGTGTAAAGAAGATATGTATATGTGCTATGAAGACAGAAAGGAACTGGTGGCAATTGCTATACTATAATAAATCGTTAGTGCATTAAAGCAACTTATAAAGGGTAAATATATAGTACTAATTAATCAAACAAAAACAGGGTAAATAAATATTTAAGATCATATAATATTTTCAAAATTTACGTTTTAACAGACTAAGCTTTAATACATTTCGAAACCTATGTTTATAATAAACGCAAGAATGGGTTTAGATTTTCCATAACAAAAAAACATTTATTGCATTAAAAGACGTATATTACTGTATGAAGTTAACTGAAAATCATCGTCACCAAAACATTTGTAAAAGCAGAAACTAAATGTTGACATAATTTCTACTTTTATTTCAGATTCCTACAGAATACCAAAACTCCCGGCTAAACCATATTTAATCACTGCTAAAGAATCTTTTGTCAAAAAACACCGAATAGAAATTTAGTAACGTTCGATATTTTACGATTGTTTTTCACTAACATTGATTATTACTAGCAAAACTTTGACTTTAGATTTTTATGTTTAAAATTCATCCAGTTGCTGTTTCTACAATTACCTTTCTATCAAACGGGAAAGATATAATACGGTCTAATCATTAATTTGAGAAAATTGTATTTTGTTCTGTATATTATAAAATCTAGCCTAACTTATAGTTCACTCTGTAAAGATTTCACTTGCGTCCTAATAATCAGATCCTTTAGCAGTGACTGTCGAATAAACTGTCCCTTAATGATTAAGTATACATAGGCTTTGTTGTGTATTATGAAAAACGTAAATTCCATGGTATAACAACACTCGGGATACAGCAGCTACTAGTGTTATCTATTTTTGTCTCATTTGTTCTGGTTAAAACGTATAGAAATTAATAATTTACTTATATGAATGTATAATCACAAAATAGAGTTTATAACAATCTTCCTGTCTAATATATTTTAACTACTATTAAGTTTTAACATATGAAGAATGAAGACTTTTGAAATACGTGATATGAGTCACTAACCAAAAAGTGAAAATGTGTAGAATACTTCTGAGAATACAGGGCACATGTAGTAACACTGATAAACCGTATATCAAAGGAATAATTTAGAAGAATAAATTGATAATATCAATGTAGATTCAACTAAAGAACAGCAGCGGTTATCAAAGGATTTCGTTTAGCAAACTACAAATTATGTCAGTTTAACTAAACTGAGTTAAATAACAATCAACACTAGTACCTTCGACTCATCGCACCGAAAACTACAACTGTCATTTAATATTCATTACCAGCAGTGGGTATAACACCTAAATCAACGGTTCATGTGTAATACGTATTGTACTATACACGTCTGTATTTCCAACTAATTAGATTCACCAAGTATAGCAACAATTATTCAACTGTCATTTAATGTTCATGACCAGCAGTGGGTATAACACCTAAATCAACGGTTCATGTGTAATACGTATTGTACTATACACGTCTGTATTTCCAACTAATTAGATTCACCAAGTATAGCAACAACTATTCAACTGTCAACCAACAAATGGCTTCAATACCATTCTAATTAACTCTAACTCTTCACTTGTACCACGTAAATGCAAGTTTATTTAGATAGTCTTATTTATTAATGCTCGAAATTATCAAACGATGTTCAGTTTTGATAATTTAGCGGTTTTAGTTTAAGATAATTTTTTCATTACTTTCCATAAGCATATATGTTAAGTTTAATCCTGTAAAATAAACAACGAATAAGACTTAATTACTCTGCGTAAATGAAATAAGAAAGGTGGAAGAGCTATCGCCGTTTCTAAACAGAGACAGTTCATCAAGCTCCTTGAAAAGGATAGGTCAGTTAATATTCAATGCATATTACTTGTCCAAGTCTCCAATCGTCATAGTAAGTATACTCAAGACATAATGTTAAAATGGAAAGACAGGTAAGGTACAATATATAGTTGTCCTTTTTAATGCATACAAATATTTTTGTAAATTAATCCTGTGAAACAAATTCATGACTCACGTTTTTGTATTTAGTATTTAGTATTGCAAGAATCCCCTGTTTGTTGTGGAAATAGTTTACAAACTTACATGTTTGTGTGTAGGGAGAGAGAAGTTAAAATATTGCTTCAATGATCAATGGCTTAAAACAGAGATTACAGACGAACTTTAATGCCACAAAGTGGCTTAGCGGCAAGATTCTGGGTTTACGACACTACAAATTGGGTTTTGATACCCTTGGTGGGTAAAACACAAATAGTCCATTGTGTAGCTTTGTGCTTAACTAAAAACAAAAAACACAATCGTACCTAAGAGACTAATGGCCGTCAACTAAAAATGCAAATCTTGAATCATTCACACAAAACCAAATATTTACACTGGTAACTGTCAATTATCAACAAAAAAGATCAAGATAACGTTTTAGTAACCAATTCAAATTCTCAAAATAATTAAATTATTAATCAAAATTGATTATGTACAAAGCAAACTTTCAGTCAAATCTTGAATAACAAATCACTAGCTATTACACACAACCCGAAAAACCCAACTTTATGAAATACAGAATGCATGGTCGCAAAAGGGTTACTGATAATTTACAACTAACTAATAGTATATAACTCGAATCCTCTATGATTATGGAGAAAGTCAAAATGTAACTAAATTGCAGACTAAAACTGAAGGTTTAAGTTCGCTGCTATACGATGTATTTTTATTTTTTTAAATAAAGTTAAATTGATGCACAAGTAATCTGCCAGTACTAACCAAAATGGAACTCAGATTACTGCCATTAAACAATAATTATGAGTTTCGGTTTAAACCAATGAATGAATCATATTTCCATACACATCATTAACAACCCATAGTAACATTACCCAGACCACATCGAAACATATAATTACTTTAAATAATGTGGACTAAACTTAGATAGATTTATCAGATAATACTTAGTAGCATGAAGTAAACAATCAAATGAACAGTAAACTGAACTTATTGTGCTTTCCATTTTGTGGGTATAATGGCATTCAAGAAAATGAGTCCGATTTTATTTATAATTGGTACCAATTACTATTAATTAAAGAATTTTAAAAACTACTGCTTTGACGAATTCCAGAATAATTTTGAATAGATCCCCTTCCTTATAATTAAAATCAGTTTTGAATAGATCCCCTTCCTAACAGATAACAACCAATTTTGAATAGCTCCCCCTCCTTACTGATAACAATCAATTTTCATATGACTTCTATATGTAAAAAATGTTATTACGCTAATAAAATAATAGCAAATATTTCGGTTATCATCATTTTGCACCACCAGTTGGCAAAATAGGCTGTTTTGCTTTGCTTTTCAAAAAAGCCAATAAACCTTAAACCTTTGAAAATATTTTATCAAATGCCATCAATAACTGGATAAATGATACACTAGAAATTCGAAACTTGATATTTTCCCTGGAATTATTTCTCGTTTATTTGTTTTCGCGCTGAGCTACACAATTGGCTACCTGCTTTGTGTCCACCAGGGAGATCTAACTCTGAACTGTAAGGGTTATAAGCTTACCGCTAGGCCACCGAGGACATTATTTTTCATACCTATTTAGTTTTGGGGTATCAGTACGTGTCTGTGTTAAGGATCTGTATCAAATTTCTTTAGATATTAGACGTGTGTTTGACGTTTTGTGTATTGCTAATATAAGTATTTATACAAGTATCCTCTAGTAGCTCAGCGGCAAGCTTCAAGGGTTTTTAACACTTCAACCCGGGGTTCGATCCCTGAGGTAGACACAGTGCAGATAGCCTACTGTGTAGTCGTTCAAAGAAACAAATGGATAAATCTGTCGTGTAATATTTTTGTTCAAAATGAGTTATGGCTAAACGCAAGTATTCTCAAACTCCTATCTTTGAGCTTGTTTGAAAATAAAATCAAATTTAGTAATTTCAAAGCTGGTATGAGAGATCCATTAGGGTGAATATGTGCATTATTAAGCTATAGTAAAACGACATTTGTGTTTGTTATAATGGATTTTGAAATTGATATAAAATTGGGTAACTGATACAAATGTCGCATTGTGTTCACAATAATTTTCAATCAACAAAAGAGATACAGAATAAAAATAGTTCCATAATATTTCACAGAATACACAAATAAAACTAAACATTAGTGTACAACTACCTAACTCAGAGGGAATGGGCATATATTTAGACAGGAACGAGCTGCACATTAAAATCTAACATACTATAAAATTTACATCATTAACTAATTTGATTTCATTCTCGTATAGGAATAACAGAACATCAAATTCTTACTCAAATGTTGCAAAGACTAAAAGTTTATAAAAATACTGTTAGTGTTAAGTACAATATGTCGTTGTTATTTCCCAAGCTTAAAACCAGTAACAAAATATATTTCTATATGATATGTTAACACTTCTTACCTTTTGATAGGAAAAGAATCACAGTAAAAAACGTACAGCATATCATCGTAAGATCCGTAAAAGTATTGTGTAAACGTTTACAAAACCAACACCAACCCGCCATAAACAATAGATATACCGTTATTAATTCATGCGCTGCACCAACCCGCTGACGTCATTCACTAGCGACATCCGCCATATTACGGTATCTGAAAGGACCGGTTAACAGTAAGCTCTTCACTCTCATGAATGATCTTGGACCTCAAAGGAGAGAAAGATGAGTGACGTATTCCAAACAACAGTCTCTTAAACTCTCGTTTCGCTGAAGTTAACCGATAACGTCTACGGTCTTACTGCATAATAATAAAGAGCTATTTTCACTTTTGTCGTATCTGAATTTTAGCTTGGTATATAGGAGCTTCGAACTCTTAAGGAGTAGCCTATTTTTAGAATAACTGCGCACATCTTTTGACACACGAAAGGTTAACTGTGTTGTATCCCTGAATCGACTGTTTCCACAGAACAGAAGTTGATCTAGTCACGTTTAGGATGAGCGATAATTTCATGCACTTTTTTACTGAAGAACGTCAACTGAACTTGTAGCCCTGTAAGAGAAGGACACTTGAGCTGAACAGAATTGGTCACAAGCAGCAATGAGAAAGTTTATTTGAGGTATCTGTGGCAGAGTGAGGGATCACACTGCCAGTCATGATGCAGGCACACGGACAGAGCAAGTTTCATCGATCGGGAGCGGCCCACCTTAATATTGGCAGCTAGGTGTGGGGAGGGCAAGTATAAGATTATATATATTAATAATTTCAACTTGAATAACTTTAAATGGCAAAGAGATAACATCGATCATCATAAACAATATACCCAAAAATGTGTATCGTTGATAAACAAGTTTTACACAATATTATCCTTAAGCAACCTGTTTAAAAATAACCGGATATAGTCTGCATAGTACCATTAATACTATTACTATTCAAAGCAGATAGTATTTTTTATAATTAACTTTTTTGAAAAGGTACTATAAATTACCATCAAAAATATATATTGTGAACAAGCAACAGTCATCAGAGTTGAGAATGAGCACGGCCAATTTCAGAAGATAAAAAGAGGAGTCCGTCAAGGATCTGTGATATGCCCTGATCTCTTCTCTTTGTCCAGTGAAATGATCATGAGAGATATAGAAGACATGCCAGGCATAAGTATTGGAGGCAACAATGTAAACAATATCAGATATGCTGATGACACAGTGTTAATAGCAGGAACGAAAAAAGATCTTTAGTCCTTACTTGACATTGTAAATAAAGAAAGCGGAAATATGGGACTCAGCCAAAACACCAAGAAAACAGAAACCATGGTTATATCAAAGAAAAAAAACAATCCAAATTGCACTTTATCATTAAATGGGACCCTTCTAAATCAAATCTACAAGTTCAAATGCTTAGGGACATGGATTACATCAGATGGCGGATGTCAAAATGAGGTCAAGAGCAAAACTGCAGAGGATAAGACAACTTTTATGAAGATGGAAAATGTATTGACTAACAAAAATATATCAATGAAAGTGCGCAAAAGAGTTCTTTGCTGCTACATCGCACCAATCTTGATTTACAGTTGCGAATCCTGGACAATAAGCAAACAAAATGAAAAATCACTCAATGTAACCGAAATATGGTTCCTGCGTAGAATGCTTAGAGTTTCCTAAAAAGACTGGAAAATATATGATGATGTTCTACGACAAGCAGAAACAAAAAGAAAACATTGGTAACAAAAGTGCGAAAAAGACAAGCAGCATTCTTTGGTCATGTGATGAGGGATGGAACACTTGATGACAACTGGAAAATTTGTGGGGAAAAAAAGTTGAGGTTTGACAGCGAGTGGACAGTTTAACAATTTGGTTACACAAAGAGAGGGTGACTGATGTAATCTCAAATGTCTGGGACCGGGAAGGGTGGAGGGACATGACCTCCTACGCTACACAGCACTGCACTTGATGATGATAACTATAAATTACATCATACATCCCTATCTACCCACACTTCCACCACTCATTTGTTCAATATCCCTAGATCCTTTTTACGTCCGTCCAGTACATCGTTTCTCAAACTTTTTATATAGCGGAACCCTTGTCCCCACCGGTCCATTTGGTAGAAATTAAATTAAATAGACATACGTCATACGTATTTAATCGGATCTTTGGTCATACATTTTTGTATAAGGATATGCGAGTGCTGACTTTTTGCTTTTGGTATAGTTTCGTTATTCATTGCAGTAAATAATTATTTTTCCAATGATTTGTTTTTCTTGAATATTCTCACGGACACCCCCCCCCCCCGAGACACTGGTCTAGCACAGAGTTTTTAGTAACATATTTGTTTTACGGTTGCGTGCACTTAAGAAGTTCAGTTATGCTTGGCAGAAGCACGGATGTTTAAAATTTTAATAAGACGACAAATCAGGGAGTTGCAATGTTACAAATAGAGGCGGGAAAACAATTTATAGAATGCATTTAATATAAAGCAGCAGCAAAGTCTATTAATACTTTCACGTAATATACAGGGTGGGCCATAACCAAGTACCAATAAGGGTACTAATAACGTTGTCTTTTATTAAACTTTATATAAGGACTCTAATGTCACAGATAAATTGATTAAGTTTTTTTTCTTTAATTTCCTTCATTGGGGATTCATTATGGCCCACCCTGTATATCATACTGAAGATGCGTTTAGCGAGACTTATCGATCTTACTCAACAAAACCACCTCGTGATAGATCTTTTAATTTCTTAGAAAACCTTCTTTACAAACACCATTTTCAGAAAGAAATTACAATTTTAAAGTGTTACTAAAGTGAGGTGAATAATTAATAATTATATATATATACATTTATACAAAAAGCAAAAGCTCAACACACTATTGACCAGATTTATTAATCAGTATTAAAAGTAAATTATTCAATATTTTTCTATTCCCTTTCAGAGCTTATAATGCTATATATCTGGTTATGTAGCTGTGTGCTTAACAACCAACAAAGACTAACAAAAGCCTATTTGTAAAACGCTGCCCTTACCTAATTCTTAATTTAATGGTTTGAAGATTTGTTTAATATATATTCCTGGTAACAAAGAATTTAGATACAAGTTAACTATAAATAACTTGAGTTATCTGCCCATAATACTTCATCGTTTATTATGGTAATACATTTTAACACACTTTTTGTTTCCTTGAAAGGTGTAATTTGTACGATATTATTCACAATCATATTAAAAAAAACAAACTATGTAGAGAACCAGCTTTAAAACACATCTTGTTCACCAAAAAAGACTAGGATAACAAAACAACCTTATAACACATTTTGTTCATCAAATGGAGTAGGTTCACATAATTAGTTGGATAAAACATCTTGTTCAGGAAACATCAAGCTAGGAGAAGTAATGGTACGCCGCATCTGTTGAACACACATACTAGGTCAAGAGTATCAGCTGAGCAACATATCCTGTTCATCAAAAAGATTAGGTTGCGAAAAGCAGTGTAATGCTCCATGTTCGTTAAAGTATTTATTTTAGGCCTCATGAGTCTGCAGTATAAGACACCTTGTCCATCAAACAACTCTAGAAAAGACAGAAGTATACCTTGTTTAGTACATAACCAACACTAGACTAGCCAGCCGAATAACACATTTCGCTTCACCCTCTACCAAGGCTAAGAGAAGCAGCATAATCATGCACCTCGTTAAGGAGAGACCATACCTCGTTCAGCATATAACCCACGTTAGCTAAATCATAAGTAATACACCACATTTTGATAAAAAAAATGTGTTTGAAACACAGTCGAAACGAGAATAAATAAGTATAAAAACAGCTAGACGTTGAGTACAACTTGGACAAGACTGGTTAGCTTGGTTAAACACCAAAATACAATTTAACCATGAGATCCCACAAATAACATTTTAGTTTATGCAGTATCTAATTAACAAATTATTTGTTTTATATACTCAGTAGTTAATTTTAAAATGGTTTCATCGACTGTAACACAACATCCAGTATTTATCTAAAGCAGGTTAGGTTAGCTGTTTTTAAATGAAATAGAGTGAAATTAAGAAGTGAATAACATTATGAAAGTTTCAGCAAATAATGTAAAGAAAGATCTCAGTAAAATATTTAGCAAGAAAATCACGAAAGAATAATAGTACCAAAAACTATGGAACAAAAATAAAATTAATCTGCGTGAAATTATCCTTTGTTTGGCTTCCATGGTTGTTCTCGTCAATGACTGTGGTTTCCAATTGACTGGATGTCAATTGTTGGATTCCAGTATCTGCTGCACCACTTTCTTTGATTTCGCCTTTATAAAGTTTAGATAGAATTTTGTGGTATTACTACTTCATTATGTGCGTACCTTTGACGCGTTAACTAGCTATTAATACCGACTGCTTTAGTTACTTAACATACGACTTAAAAGAGAATAGATTTACTAGTTGTTAAATAATATTTCGCGTCAGAGTTTAATTTGATTAATACAAGTTAGAAGGAGTTTGATTTATCATATATATATCACTATCTTCTACAGGAACTAATAATGAATGAGCTCTAATCACAAGTGAACCAAAAATTACAATTAAAGATAAAATAGATTAGAACGCACTAAAGTAATTACGCAATAGTAATTTATAATAAGATAGCAAAATAAATTCTAAGCTAATTACAATTGCATAGCATGAAAGATTAATTAATATAGTTAATATTAAGTAAAACAATAGTTGCAACACAACTGATTGTACAGATTAACTAGTGTTCATAGTGGCGAGCTAAATGTATTATGTCAAAATCTTAAGGATCACGTGAAAAACATATATTTAGACCACTGGCGTGAAATTCCAAATTGACATTGCAGATTTAGTGAAACCAACTTAACCAGGCTCTGAATTTGATCTGGCAGAACCAAGACTTACTAACATGGAAAAGTTTATCAATAAAATGGGAGTAGCTTCAACACCAGGGCAAAACGAAGTTCTGTACAAAGTCTACGAGAAGTGTGGAGGACTTACACAGTTCCTCTGAAGGTTGTTGAGAGTATTCTGCAGAAAGGATGTAGTTTCCTCATGCTGGTGTCAAGTTGAAGGCCTGTACATCCCAAAAGAAGAGGATTCTAGGACATTGAGTCAGCTCTGTCTAATATCACTATTTAATGTAAAAATAAGATCATGTTCGAAATTATAATTTATGGTAGCGAATGATCTGATCAACATATATGTGCAGAAGGCTGGAATACCACAGTTTTCAGGATACTTAGAGTATACTGTTGTGATTTGGCATATTATGAAGAAGTCCGTGAAGTTGAGAAGAACGTTTGCATTGTATGATTCGATCATGCCATTGTTTATAGGTCTGTTTCACATGCACTGATGGAGTTTGCCATAGACGTCTCGTGGATCTATAAAAGGTGAAAAGTTTCATTATGGAATACTACAAGGACATTCTTATGTAGTTTTCAATCAAAGAATACATAATAAGATGGCAGAATTTGGAAGTTGGAATACCGATGGTTTGCACCATTTTTCCAATCTTGTTTGTGTTGGCAATGGAAATTACCATCAGGGCTAAGAGTGGTGGTAGGAGGTGCAAAAGAACTACTACCAATATGAGCATTCATCGAATACCTTACTCTTTTCAACCCGAACATGGAGGTAATAAAATATCCTGGACAGACTTGAGGAGCTCATGGATTGAAGTTTTAATCAGAAAATCAAGAAGCTTTATTCTGAAATGATGAAACATTGGTTGATCTCCACTTCATGTTGTGTAGAAAAGATATTCCATATACTCAAGAGCAACCAGAATAGACTTGGACATTGACACACAGAGGAGCTGAAAGATACCAAGATAACCCAAGAGACAGCAGGGCGAGTTAACAAAGGGCTTGAATCAATTGACCAGTATCGTTTGCCTGGTAAACTGAAACTTTGGTGTTTAGTATGGTCTCATGCCACGGATTATGTAGCCTCTTGTCATATATGAAATAGCTAGCTATGAGCTATATAGAGTCAATGGAAAATAAAATTAATAAGTATGTCAAGATATGGCGAGGAATTCCTAACAGCTTGACTGATGTACCCATTCATTACTAGTGTGATCCTTTGCTGAAGTGTTTAATGTGGCTAAAGCAATATTATTGATGACTCTGAGAGATCCCAAAGACCAGTGATCAAATATGCTCCCCCAGGAGTCAAATGAGGGCAAAATGGCTCAACTGATGTAGCAGTGGTAAAGGCTGAGTCAAGATTGGAGTACAAAGAGATGGTTAGTCCTACCCAGTTGAAGTGCCAAGGTCTTAGTCGGACAAGTCACAAGTGTTAGTCTACATATAAATCACTAAGGAGCAAGGAGAGGTAGCTGTGCGTGAAATTAGAGAGGCAGAGGAGGAAAAGAGATTGGCTACAGATGTGGGGCAAACTAAACAAGGTAGGTGAACACGGTGGAGGACTGTCGAACAAAGAAATATATCTTGGAGAGTTCTGTGGAGAATGGTATCTTTGTGAATTTCATTCTTGCAGAGAAATATTTACAAACTGATTCCAATACAGCCAATCTCTGTAGTTGGAATAAAGACAAGAGATATTGCTGTTATGCATGTGGAAAGAAGGGAACCTTAGAACATATTCTCAGTGCGGAACTTTTGTTATTTTTAATGATATGTACACCTGAAGGTACAACAATGTCTTCAGAATGATTAAAGTGGCTGTTGAACAGAAAGTTGAAAGAAACAACTCAGAGCATTTCAAGGGCGTACAGCAGCAATTCAAGATCTAATATTCTTTAATCTGCAAACGGCTGGTTTGTAAGAGCTGATCTCAATGGCAGAACTGTGAACAGAGTGTGGAAATAGAGATTGAAAGGCTGCTGTAATTTTGTTTCTAATTCTTTTCACCTAGGTTTCAACAGTGAGTAGTGTCTGAGGTAGCAGAGTCATGATCATCGTGTGTGTGTGTGTGGACAAAGTTTCTACGAAAAGGTAGATAAAATAGAGGATGATAACACTAAGTTTATGTCAGTTGGCTTGAACCCACCAGCTGGTGATTTATACACTGCTGGATCTTCATCTCAGTGGAGTCTTGACTGTAAAAGGACCGAAGCTCCTTAACATAGGTAGCAATCAACTGATGATCCCGCTATTGCAAATATGTAAGACGCACACCGTCTCTATCCTTCGTGCATTAAAACTCTAC